GTATACAATGATATAATATCATTGGATTCAAATTTAATTCCATCCATTACAGTAACCCACTTGTAACCTAATGTACAGCAGAGCGACATACACGACTTACCCACTTTTTTAATTATTTGTTTGTTGTAATCATAATATAATAAAATATAATTATCAAAACTATTTATATTTTTTTAAATATTGAAAATAATATCTTGATTAAATCCGGGTATTTTTTTTTAAACTCAAATGGAATAGTATTTAAAAATATACGTATTCTAAAGTCTGCTTGGTAATTATTTACTCTACCTCTTTATTTGTTATCATTAAAAAAAAAAAAAATATTTTTTTTTGAATAATACAATATACTGCAACACAATAGTAAAATAAAAGTGCATTTATATCTAGTAGGTACCATAATAGAATTTGTTTTTTGTTATTTTAATTATGTATTTAAAACTGTCAACCCATGCAGTGTATTTCGTGATGACGGAGTGGATTAAATTTAAAACTATATGAAACTCAACCAAAAATTATTAAAAAATATTTAAAACATAATAATAGATATATAATAAACTATTATATACATTTTTACCCAATTTGGCTGTACTCCAACTTTTGGTCTATATATGCATTTTTAGTACCGTCTGTAAAATATATGATATACATTCTATTTACCGTGTTCTTAGCTCTGAACGACTAAACTATGGTTATTGTTACACTATTAGTTTATTTATTCTAAAACTTTGTTAAAATCACATAAATACAATATACTTGCATGTTATGACATATATAGGTTAGGTAACTAGCGTTATTAGGCGTGTGCTGCAGGTTAAGAATAATACAAAATACATAAAATAAGATGGAGTAGTTAAGCAGTTGAATTAAGAGCAGATGTATAAACAATAGATAGGAAATAAAATGTAGACTATGGGTATGTCATTTAAAATATTTGTTGTAAGATGTTAGTTTTAATAGTTTTCTTCTTATTTTTCAAACAATTATTGAACACTTATAATATTGTTAACTAAACAACGATAAACTTTAATACAAGCAATATAATCTGTAATAGTTGATAATTTAGATGATGTCAGAAAAAATATATTACTTTCCAGTTTTATAGGAAATAAACTATTTTATTATTGAGATATAAACTTTTACAAAATAATTTTAGAGTTGGGGTTTTTTATGGTATTTACGGAGTAAAATCATTGTAATTTATAAAGAAGCACAGTAAGATGAACGGTGAATTGTACGAGTTGTTTTAAACATTATCATTAGGACGTAATTATAAGCAAAAAATCATATTAAATATTATAATAATATCTACTCGATTAACGCCAAATATTTTTATTTATTTTTAATTATTTTTAAAAAAAGTGCATATATCAGTATACATAGCATTTGTGGCTTGGTATGGCTCATTGTCTACATCCAGT